AAAGCTAATAACATCATTTTCCAACTAAACAAAATCTTGGATCGAGGCTAATGAATCTTTTAAGTATAGGTTAATGGTCAATGCTTGTCAAGAGTTCTAATAATGATCGTGGGACGAGGTCCGAGTACTTTCATTTCATTTCCTATATTGTTCTACTTGGTACTGTACTCCAGTACCTCCGTACTCTATATTTCATGTTAGTCTCTCTTTCCTCGTTCTGTCTCTTTACTCCAGTTCCACCTTACTCCCCTCTACCCCCTTTTTTCTCATTCTGTCTGTTTACTCCAGTACCTCCTTACTCTATACTCCCGTCTTTCCCATTCTGTCTCTTTACTCCCGTCTCCTCCATTCTTCCTCATTCCGTCTCTTCACTTCAGTACCTCCTTTCTCTATACTCCCGTCTTCTCCCTTCTTCCCCATTCTGTCTATTTACTCCAGTACCTTCTTAATCTATACTCCCGTCTTCTCCCTTCTTTCTCATTCTGTCTCTTTACTCCAGTACCTTCTTTTTCTATACCCCGGTCTTCTCCCTACTTTCTCATTCTGTCTCTTTACTCCAGTACCTCCTTACTCTATACTCCCGTCTTCTCCCCCATTCTGTCTCTTTACTTCAGTACCTTTTTTTTCTATACTCTCTTCTTCCCCATTCTGTCTCTTTACTCCAGTACCTTCTTCTTCTATATTCTCTTCTACTCCCTCATTCTGTCTCTTTACTCTAGTACCTCCTTACTCTAAACTCCCCCCTATTCCCTTCTTCTTCATCCCGTCTTTTCTTCCATCCTCTTTATTTTTTGTCTCCTTTCCCCTCTATTTTTCATATTCTCTGTGTGCTGTTACTCAATTAAAGCTGCATCGCAGTTTGCAAGTCAAAATAACCCTGAAGGCCATAGTCTAGAAATAGCTAGATCCATTGTATCTTATTTTATCATATTGTTTAAGTCGCGTTTGGCAAGATCAATTTCTACAACCGAAAGGTTTTGAAGTACGAATCAAAATTTGATAAGCTAAAACTGAAATTTTATGTGTCTCATTGTTAATCAAGTTTTTCAATCTAAATTAAACTCTGAATATTAACTTTAAATTTTAATGGAACATTATCACATCAAATGTAGTACCTGATTATTGAATGCCAGAACAATAAGTAACTAGATCATCAAAAGTCCCGCCGTGTTTTTGATACATGTACAAACAAATATGTATAAACTTGAAAACCGTACCTGATAAAAACAGACATCGATACACAAATATTTCTTTAGGGAGTAGTTACTATGAATAAACGAAATAAAATGACTGAAATTTAAATAAAATTATAAAAACGCAGAGTAAAATTCCTTCATGGCGTTTATTATTGCTTGGCAAATCGATTTGTTACGGTTTTTTAAGCAATCGATTTTTTTTCAGGATCGTCTCTAGCACAAACTGAAAATAGTAAAGTATTTTGTTTTGAACAAAGAGTTTTTAATGGGCCAAATGAATATCCTACTTGAAAATCTTGCTAAACCAGAAGTGCATATTGCATAATGTACACAAATTTGGTTTGGGGGCTGTTTTCTTTTTTTATGCCCTTTGTAACAAAATGTATTGAATGCAATAGCCAAATTTGGCTAAGTCACACACACAGTTGGCAGGTACTTGGGTAAAGAGAGGGGAAATGGAAGAAGAGAGAGGTGCTCGATAGATGAGAAACAGATTTAATGAAAGGAACAGAAAAGGGGGCGAATGTGAGAATACTAGGAGGGAGGGGGAGCAAGAGAAAATATTATGAATCTTTAAAAATATGAGATGGAGTTGGATAGATAAGCAGATGGGACTGATACTAGTCAAAGATTATTATTTTAATTTGAGAGATACTCATCGTACCTCGATGCAATGTTTCGAATTACAGTACTCCGAAGAGTTATAACGAGTCGCATTTTTCCATCTCTCTAACCAACTTTCTTACACTTATTTCTTGAATATCAGTGAATAAATTTCTCAGTGGACAAATAAAATTGCAGAGAATTACTTCCGATGAAGTAAAACGTATATAAAACTATTTAAATCAAAAATTTTGATAAGCATTTCATTGAACCTCGCTAGCTATTCAAAAACGTTTCTGTTCTGGACTTTTGATCAGGGGTTTCATCTTTTTAGAACCCCTTTCTGGATCCTTGATCAATTACAATACCTCCTTCCCCTATAAATCCTTACTATTACCACTCTTCCCCTATAAATCCACACTATTTCGTGATTTTCTCTTAGGTGTTC